CAGAATTGATATTTTATTTTGATTATAATATACAAAATAGATGAATAGGATTCGAGCTCATAGAACAACCTCTTTGATTAGATCATAACGGACTGAACTATTTCGTTGTAAAATATGATGCTTATAATATATAGCTTATTCTTGTAAAATATATTTTGTAATAATTAAGTATTAATTGTTGTTGTCATTGTTATTTATAGATTCATTTGATCGTCAACATCAGATCTCCACCATCTTTCTTATTCATATTCGCAGTTCCGTCAGGACTCTTCTCGAATATCCCACCATCTTCTTTACTCGCATTCGCAGCTTGTCTGCACTCTTCTCTTCTTTATCCACAACTCTTTCTGGACTCTCCTTCACCGTTGGTTCATCATATTGTACGGATATCAGGTTAAGCTCGACCGAAACGAAGAATATTTCATAGGCTTCATCGTATAAAGAAGCTATGATTTAATGTTCTAGGTTGGCAAGGTTAGCATCAACGAGAATAAATCGAATAGTCAACATCATCGAGAATACTCTTTTAAAATACATTTAAACAAATAATCCTTTATATAATATATGACATAATAAACAGAATAACCTGAAAATTGAAACATAATCAATATAAGATATCAGAACAATATAAAAACTAAAAAATAAATCAACATACCTCGTTCCCAAGTTTGACATCCATTCTTTAAAAACCATTACCATTAATTTTCATATCTCCAACTATTCAAATAAAAAATGATTGTTTTTGAGATAAAACAATGAAAGATTACAAAGAAAGATTGTGTGCATCTACGTTTTATTGATAACAATCACCAATTTATAGATCACTTAAAAAATAAATACATTTAACTTGTTCAAAAATAATTGATTAAAACTAATACATGAAAATTAATTAAATCGAATTAAAATTAATTATATTATATATGCGTGAATATAGATTAGATGTATATAGCAATTTCAAAAATAAATACATTTAACTTGTTCAAATCTAGTATATAGCATGTCTGTATACATACTTTAACATCATTGACGTCTTTCACTTAATGATTTTCAGAATGGAAGATGTTCTTTTTAAATATATGGTATCTTTATTAACCTATACAGAATTAATGAATATAGAATTCATTAGTTAATTAGTGACCCTTGATATTACGCGAGAAAGATTTAATACATTATTTAATTAATAACTCTTGATATTACATGAGAAAGATTCATTAATAAATTTGTAACTTTTAATATTCATAAAAGAGGACACATGTCATATTCTCGTGAAAGAAAACTGTATTTTTATATATATGACGGTAAATATATTTAACTTGTTCAAAAATAATTGATTAAAACTGATACATGAAAATTAATTGAATCGAATTAAAATTAATTAGATATGCGTGAATATGGATTAGATGTACATCGTAATTTCAAAAATAAATATATTTAACTTATTTAAATCTAGTATATAACATATATGTATACATACTTTAACATCATTCACGTCTCTCACGTAATGATTTTCAGAATGGAAAATATATTTTTTAAATACATAGTATCTTTATTAACATATAGAGAATTAATGAATATAAAATTCATTAGTTAATCAGTAACCCTTGATATTACGCAAGAAAGATTCAATGTAATATTTAACTAATAATTCTTGATATTAATTGAGAAAGATTCATTAATCAATTTGTAAATTTTGATATTCATAAAAGAGGACATATGCTCACGTGAGAGAAACTGCATTTTTATATATATGATGTTAAATACATTTAACTTGTTCAAAAATAATTGATTAAAACTGATACATAAAAATTAATTGAATCGAATTAAAATTAATTAGATATGCATAAATATGGATTAGATGTAAATCGTAACTTTAAAAATAAATATATTTAATTTGTTCAAATCTAGTATATAACATGTTTGTATACATGCTTTAACATCATTTGCGTCTCTCACGTAATGATTTTCAGAATTAAAAACGTTCTTTTTAAATACATGTTATTCTTATTAACGTATATAGAATTAATAAATATAAAATTCATTAGTTAATTAGTGACCCTTGATATTACATGAAAAAAATTCAGTGTATTATTTAATTAATAACTCTTGATATTACGTGAGAAAGATTTATTAATCAATTTGTAACTTTTGATATTTCTAAAAGACGACTGAAACATGAGAGGAAACTGCATTTATATATATATATATATATATATATATATATATAATGATAAATATATTTAAATTATTTAAAAATAATTGATTAAAACTGATACATAAAAATTAATTGAATCGGATTAAAATTAATTAGATATGTGTGAATATGGATTAGATGTACATCGTAACTTCAAAAATAAATACATTTAATTTGTTCCTAAAAGAATACACGTGTCATGTTTGCGTGAGAGAAAACTGTACTTTTATATATAATATATTTAATTTGTTAAAAAATAATTGATTAAAACTGACATATATGAAAATTAATTGAATTGAATGAAAATTAATTAGATATGCATAAATAAGAATTAGATATACATTGCAATTTCAAAAATAGATAAATTTAACTTGTTCAAATCTAGTATGTATAATTAGTAATTTTGATATTACGCAAGAAAGATTTAATGCAATATTTAATTAATAACTCTTGATATAATGTAAGAAAGATTCATTAATCAATTTGTAATTTATGATATTTCTAAAAAAAAGACATATATCATGTTTTCTTAATAGAAAACTGTGCTTTATATATATATATATGTGTGTGTGTGATGATTTTCAAACCAAATTAAGTCTTAATAAATGATTAGCTTTAAAAACAATTAATTGGGATTCAAAAAATTAATTGAGATTAATTCGATTCGATCATTTAAATAAAAAAATATGTTAGAAAATGAGTACTGATAAAACAATCTGAATAATGTAAATAAAATCAATATTTAAAATAAAAATAATATATATATACACACTTTTAAAAGCGAAAAATCAGGAATATCTTAATTCAAAGTCTTTTGGCAATGATGGAAAATATGTCAAAATTCAAAAGTCAGTAATAATGATTAAAGAGGTTTAATTGTTTTTCCATGTTTTACTCCTCTTCGCATTAATGAAACCCCATTATCTTTCTTTATTTAAATAGGAATATTCTTTGACCCAAAAAAATTAGTTCAACTAATTGTGATAAATGATTGGTTTTGATTTTTAATTAATGCTCCCGTTCCCATGAATTATGGCTTATGTCCGTATTATCAAAATGGACACCGATTAATTAATTAATTAGATTATAAATTATTTTGTCGGCAATTGCATGAACTCTCCAAGGTTTGCTTATTCACGTGATAAAGAAAATATTCAAGATTTTATTCTTATGGCCAGTTTTCTACGATTGTTAACCGGTTTTTCCGGTTCGGTCCGGTACAGAACGAACCGAGTATTTCAGAAAGTGGGCTTGAACTAGGAAATAAAGGGTTGAGATTTTCTAACTCTCATTTAGTTTAGTGGGCCGAATCAAGAAACGTCTAATTTATTTTTAAGTGATTTCTAATTCCTTTATGACAAATTTACTAAAACCCATTACATTTTTTTGTATATTTTTAAAAATTAAATATACCAAACCATAGAAAGGTGAAAAATGTAAAATAATTTTTATTTTACTAGTATGAATGACTTTTAAATAGACGATGCACTTTCTTTTTTATATAAATTTTAAATATTATAGAACATAAAATTTTCGTATAAAAAATTCAAACAAAAAAAGTGTAAGAATATATAAATTCAAAATCTTTTGTAACTAAGAAATTAAATATAACGATATAACAATTGTTCGTTATATTTTTTTTTTCTAAAATTGAAATATTCGAATTGAAAAATAACTGAGCCTAGATATAAAATTTTCGCCTTTAAAAAGAAGAAATTTTAGTAAAATAGAAGCTTAGACGCAATTTCTAAGTCAAGCAGATATTGCTGGTCCAAATTCGGTTGGCAAATCAGATATTGTTGGACCAAAATCAAGAAGAGAACTTAACCGAACCGATCCAAACACGTTGAACCAAACTAAACCGGAAAAGATTGCCAAGTGCCTCATCACTCTCTTCGTGATCCAACACGTAGACCTAGATTCTTGCCACGTGGCGTAACGTCAACAAATTCAGAAATCTCTCTTTGCCGCCTTCATCTGCAGTAGAATCAACATGACAAAGGTTGTCCGGAAACAAAAGTCGTTTGATAATCTCAGGAGCAAAGATTCATCAATCTCTCTCTGTAGGGTCATATCATATACACGCATATACATATATACTGATATACACACATATATATATATATTATATAATTCATTACTTCAGATCCATATTCAGACGATGAGTACTTACCATGTTTCTCACGAGTCTCATCAACCGCCAGGCATTTTCTTCATCCTTTTTCTGATTTTTCTCTATTTATTTAATGTGATTCCATCAAAATATATGTCTTATTATAATCATCGCCACTCATGCATGCATGTATTTCTGTTCTCATTTTATATTAAATATGCTTAATTAATTTATAGGGTTTCTGCAAATTAGTTTGTTCAAAGATATTGTTCGTTTATAGCTGAGATGATTCCCTGTATCACCATACGATATGTGCATATATAGAGATTAAAGGTAATCAGAATGCTATTTTATATTATATCACACCCATAATTTAAATCTTAGTCCATGGTTTAGATTATTAGTTGTGTTACGATTACAAAATGCTATTTAAAATTATTTTATGTTGAATTTCCAATATACAAAGGTTTACAGTTATATTATTTTTTGTTGTGTTAAATAAATATTTGTTTTTATTATTAAATAGTGAAAAAATATCCGAAATCCGGTCTAAATTCGTCTGAAACCCCATAGGGTCGGATTTCGGGCTCTCAAATATAGATCCGAAAATTTATCGGTTCGGCTCGATCCGAGAAAAAGCAAACCGAAATCCGGTCCGCTCCGGTTCGATCCTCTAACCAAAATTATATTGTCAAGGTCCTCCGCCGCCGTATCCACCGATGTCGGGATATTCATATGGGAACTACCCTCGCCCCTCTCCTCCGCCGCCGCCGCCGCCGTATCTACAGCCGTACAGAGATCATTACTATGGAGGAGAAGGAGAATATATAAGCTGCTTCTCTTTTCTAAGATCTTGGTACGTATGCCATTACAAGCCACATTTTATTTCAATTTTTTTTATTAATTACCTTACAAGCTTTGAACTTGTTACGTTTTTATTACGCAATAAAATCATGGGATTTTTAGTTTTAGGTAATTTCTTCTCATGTATGTTTGTTTACTAACTTCGATATTTCCATTCGAAATTAATGGATATGGCCAAAATTATCCAATAATTGCATGGAAATAAAAAAAAAATATTTGTTTTTTTCTTGACCTAGAATTCAATCTGACATCGATTAATCACTTTGGTTTTAGATTTTTAAAAAATCGTATGCCTATTATTAAATTAATATTTTAAATTTGTTAAATCAATATTTATCTTTTTCATGTTTTTGACGGAATATAATGTGTAAAATTGTGCTTTTAATCCATTTATTTATTTATTAAATCATTGATAACTTTTTGTATGGGAAGTTTGGCGACGCTTTGCTGTTGCTGGGTCTTGGAGAGGTGCTGCTTGCCCCGTCGTTACTAAATCCCCAAATATCTCCTTAATTATACCTTATTATAGTCTAAAGTTCGAGTTTTATTATTCTCCATGTAATAAATAATCAAATGATGAGACTATATATTAATCTTTTTGTTTCTTTGAAAAAATGCATTGCAAATCATTGTTGGACCAAAAATATATTATTTGGTGTGTGTGTATATATAACCTCGACATGATTATTATAATCCAAAGTGTATGTGTAATAAACCCTAGGTATTTGGGCTAAAATCATATTTTATATGGTTGGTATGGACTCACATTCGCCAATAAAATCAGATTATTGTTTGAGGTTGGTTTTATCCTAAAATATCTCTTTAATATTATTCTTTCTCGTGGAAATTCGAATCTAATTTCTAATTAATCCGATTCAGGATATATACATGATGGGGAGAAAATGATAGAAAACCTGATTTTTATTTCATTATTGGTATTTCTAATTAAATAACTTAGTTGCACATTCTAATTAATATTCACAATAGATTTATTTAGTGGTGGACGTTTCGGTATTCGGTTCGAATTCGGATCAAGAATGGTCCGGTTTGGTTTTACAAAAATAGGCATCAATCGATTGTTATGTTATATTTGATTTGGTTCGATTTTGGTTTTTCTTAAAAACAATTAGATTTTTTAAAAAAAAATCAATTTTTCAGAGTTTTTTAAAATTCTATTGGATTTGTTTTCGAAAAATTATTTTTTTTAAAATTAATACCGTTTAAGAATTTTCGGATCGAGAAAAATACTATATCCATCGAAATCCAAAACTAATGATTCCTTTAGATATATTAGATACATATTATTAACCCCTTGATGGGCATTCTAAGGAGCATCTTGGATATCCTAATAGAAATTATTAGACTTAATCAAATGTTAATCCAACTGCCACAAACCCCGTCTAATATGCATATGCCGAGAGATTCGTTTATGACAAATCTTTATTCCAATAATAATGGGTTTTTAATGGAGAATTTAAAATAATACACGAATATATACATACATATATGTATATATGTGTGTGCTGGATATATATATATATATATATATATGTATATATTGCATGGGAGGGTGGGGGTCACATGGGTCTCAGAGAAGGAGACCCACGTCGCCTGTTGTTTGGGTCCTCGAACAAAACCACACCATCATGCATGCCTAACTCTCATTTTATTTATCATTCTTTTTAAAAAAAATATTCAACTTTTCATCATATGTATATATACACGCACAGTCGTGTATTGACTATATTATATATGTGTGTGTATATATATATATATATATAAAGTTTCGAGTAATATCTTATTATTGACATATTGACAGATAATGTCATCATGCCTCTCCACTTACATGGGCATTCCACTTGTTTTTTTTTTTTTTGACATTTCTCACCCTTTGAATATTTTTCTCCGTTATTTTTCTTAGAGTATTTCATATATTTTTTTTTCCAATGATTTTGAACTTTTAGATAATTCATAACGAAATTGTGTATACTTTTATTTTATAAATCGAAATATTTTGCATTGGTTGAATTTTTTTTACCAATTTAAAATATTCCTAATTAATTGTATAATAATATGATCGAGATACGGTCCATATTAAATTGCTGAACTTGTAAATAAAACATAGAAACTGCAACCAACGTTAAAGTAGTTTATAAAATCATAATTATGCATTATATATCGGTTCAAGGGAACATATGTATATATTTGCTATCGTCAATCAATCTAAATAACAGCACATGTATTTTTCGACATATATATATAAAATTAAGGTCCTCAAATTCAAAACCAATCATATATGGTCTAAAATAAACAATAGAGACACAAATATGATAACTAGAAAAAAAAACTATAAAAATTAAAAGTTAAGGGTTGAGATTCCTATTTCAATTATACAAATTCCGGTTCCGTTATTTTTAGATTTCGGAAATTCTTTTTGCTTTATTTCTTTCTTGAATTTGATTAATTTGTTTTATTTAACTCAATGAATTTCATATCAAAATTAATTCATTGTTATGCATTATTTTTGCCAAATTATTAAACCCTAAAAAATCTCAAATAATATTTTATAAAAAAAATAGGAATCTAATTAAGGCTAAAAGGGAACTTTGTCGTGATAATTATTAAAAAAAAATGATTTGGATCATGTTTGTCATCGAAACATGCTCTTTGAAAAGCCATTAGCTGGATCGATCTCGTCCATGTAAAGGCAATAACACATATATACACATACATATATATACATACATACATATTATATATATATATATATATATATACAATTTGCAGCATAATATTTTGTTTATTGAATTTAGAGTCAGAAAAACTCTAAAAAGTGTATATATAATATTAATGTACGTGAAAAATTATATATGAATTCTTTTGACAGAGAGACCATCATCCCTTTCGTATACCCACAAGCTTCCAAACAAAGGGAATTAATGGAAAGTAAGATTTGCAAAGGAATAATTCTCATCCCTCCGCTCTCTCATGGACCCACACTTATATACTTTTAAAATAATTAAAGCGCACAAATTATATATATATACACAATAAATAAATTAAGAACCCTTATCTTCTTCATGGGAATAATTTCCCCTCCACAAAACCATGCTTCTCACATATGCTTCGTCATCTCTCTCTCTCTCTCTCTCTCTCTCTCTCTCTCTCTCTCTCTCTCTCTCGTAACCCTTTTCTTGCTTCTCATCACCGCTTGTAATAGCAAATCTTCCATGATACCATCATCATCATCGCCATCATCATAATCATCATCACCATCATCATCATCATCATCAAGGAACTCATGTTTTATGTAATTAACCATGGCTTCTTTTGAAACCCCAACTGTCTTCTTCACTCATATCGGCGGCTTCATGGCGAGAATAAACGATCGCGACCGTTCGTCTGAGTTCTCTACTGGAGATCTCCGCTCTGTCTCTGATCCAACGGCTAATATCAACGGCACTAACCCTAGCGGCAATAACAATAACCATAACATCTCTGCCGAGGTTGTTGTTCGTCAAGATCAAGATTCAAGAACCATAGAACAAGATGGAATCGCCGCTCTTGGAAGCAGTAACAACAGTACTGGTAATAGAAAGAAAAGGTTAACGACTGATTCCGAGGAAGAAGACCGCAAAGATTGGCTCCGGTTAGGTATTGGTCCGGACACGGCCAAGCTCCGAGGTTGTAACGACCGTGATCCGACGGTGGAAAGGGCGAGATCAGATCAATGGCCGTTAGAACTCACTTTATTCTACTCATCCTCCTCTTCTGCGGCGGTGCCTGCCGGAGAAACCGGTATATTTCACGCGCCACCGTCTCACCCACATCATCATGAGCTGATGAAGATGATGCGTTATGGTTATGATGTGACATCGTTTTATCATTATCAGAAAACGTTTCGGCCTCCACCATTAATGTTACATCACAACCCTCCATTGCTTTCTTCTTCTCCTTCATCGTCGTTGTCTCCTTCTTTTTCGCCATGGATGCCGATGACGGGACCTCGTAATTTTGCCATGCCATTTCAACCGCCGTTAGGGGTCAACCCTAACAGTAATAATAGAGCAAGTGTACATTTAGGGGTTGGACCAAGCTCGGACTTTAGGGTTGTGGATCCACCGAGGAGACCGCATTCCGGTATTTGGTTTGCTCTTCAAGCTTCACAAAATCAGTAAGATCAATCCTTAATTTCTTAACTTTGTCTTGTCTTTTTTTTTAACAATGAGGGTTGTCATTTTATATTGAATTTGATTCAAGAACGGTTAATTAACGCAGGGCAAGAGAACCATTCTTGCCACAACTAAACAAAAGCTACTTGAGAATCAAGTAAGTTCATATGATTTTCTGTGAAATGTTTCTTTCATTCGTTTTCGTGAGATTTCAAAATCATGGATAATCTTATATATATATTCTTCCATATGTAAAAGGGATGAGGGAATCACAGTTAGGTTGCTAATCAAATATCTAATGAAGAAGCTTCAACTTGATAGTGAATCAGAGGTAACTTTCTGATCCAATTTTCTTCTTACGTGTTATATATTCTTATGATTCGGTTTCGGTTTACAGTTATTCGATAAGATCAAAGACAAGGGTTGAGTTAGGAAATGAAAAAAAAAAGTATTGGAATTAGATAAATTAATTAGCCTCATGGTGATTAATTAGTGTAGCACTACAGACAAAGATGAATCTCTTAATAACTAGGTTTAGGGTTAATTAATATCATCAAAGAGTCATTAGTCCTATGGTTGTGAAGTCACTTTTGTCCTTGCGCTTTGGTACTGGTTTCCATGCATGTCCTAATTAGGTGCAATGTCCAAGCACATTGATTATGATTAGGGTTTTGGATTGAATCTTGTCAAGTACATATATAATTTGGACATTATTATAGCTATTCACTATCTTATAATTTAATAATTATTATTATTGTCCTACTTAGGGAAACGGAAATCGAAATGGCCTTTTCATTCGGTTTGTAAGTTTTCGGTCCATAAATAATTCGAATAAAATTTCGAAAGCAACAAACGTTTTCAGTGCACCAAGCATGCTTTGCTTTGAGAATTGCAGCGACCGCAAATTAAAAGAATAAATTATCTTAAATCGGCCCCCAAAAGCTTACATATGTGTATGTGTTTGTGTTTGTGTCTGTACTTATGCTATAATTAAATATTATTTACATTAAATATTATAATATATGCAATAATATGTGAGTATTGCATGTTCCTATAGAACTGTGGGCTCACAATCACATATATATACATAAAAACTCAACTCTAATGCTCCGGATGAATATGCAGAGCCAAAGCGTGTGTATGTATGTATCGATTTATACATAGATAGATACACACGCGCATATTGTATTCGTTTAATAAAATAAAATATTTGGCAGACAAATAACAACCGTAGATTCTATCACATAAATTATTACGGAAATTATGAGCATATATATATATATATATATATATATATATCCACATATAATATTCGTCATGTATGTTTGTTTTCTTAGCGAGAGGACGAGTCTAATGAAAACGATACATCACCTTTATCATAGTCTTAGGACACCTATATATATATATATGCAAGTATATATGTGTATGTATATGTGTATGTGTATGTGTATGTGTGTGTGTATGTGTATGTGTATGTAGGTATCTAGATGCATATACGCATGCCGATCTACGCACATGCACGACGCCACATATAGTTTATTTGCTCAAACATAAAATAACGTACACCAATCTAGAATATTTTCATGATGAGATTCACTAATTAGAATATGGATTTATTATAAACGATTACAAGAAACATTAGTAATATCTTATATTTAGATATAATTTTTTATGTGTTAAAATATATATTTTATTAGAAGAGTAGATTTGATTCTTTTCATATTTGATGTTTGAAATAATCATTTAGATATCTTTAAAGGCTGAATTATATTTGAACTGAAATTTTTCTATACCTTGTATGTATAATAAAAGTAATATGCATATACTTTCAGCTAATAATAACACAGTTGAATAATAACGCATGAAAATATATTTATCTAATATTGTTACTATTTTCATAATTAATATTACACGGATTGATATCCTATTAATTTAAAGATAAAGAGTTTAGGAGGATCATTAGTTAAAATTAGTTAGCATTATGGTAACTTATTGAAATTTATTTTAGTTACAGTGGTCTGAATTAATACTACTAAATTTATTATATATATATATATATATATGGATCTAATTTTTATATAGGATATACTAATAATATCATAAAAATAAAGAAATATTAATTTGGATGTAACATGAATAAACTAATACTATTTTTTTTTTATTTTTCATTTATATTATTAAGATTAATTTCAATTATGTGAAACTTATTATGCCTATATTATTAGTTTAGGTCACCTACACACACACACACATATATATATATATATTTATTCTACTCA